CTGGCGATCGGGTCTCCGCCATTGTGGCAATAGTTTCCCTCACCCTCTGGCTCCTCAGTCTGCTCATTCTGTGCATTGCAATCGCTCGGCCGGTATGCCGGCTACTTCGTGGGCGTGTTCGTCTGCGCACCATGTCTCGCGACTTCTACGCGGACGATCCGACCGAGTCAGAGTTTCCCATTCTGTGTGCTGGTGGCGGCGGCGGCGGTAGAGATCGTTGCGAGACCGACGGTTGCATCGGAACTGCGACCGCGCCCGGCTGTTTCCCGCCACCACCCCTACCACCAAGCAATAAATGGCCTTATATGGGAGGTAAGCCCTTGTGTGTTTTATGAAAATTTTACTTCCTGGAGGCAAATCTGATAGCATACAGATTGATCTAGTAGAGACGTCACTAGTCTTGATGCCTAAATGAATCGCATTCGTTTTACAGATAACTTAAAGGGGTCTTGCAAATGGGAAGTTTAACTGGGTCACATTTCAATATCAAAATATTCAGTCTTAGTAAACCCATCAGCTTGTCGTCGATCAATGCAGAGCAAGAGCTACAAAAAGTAACTAAAGACTTCATATTGACAGAGTTTGTTGTCCTAGACTAAGGTCTGGCATTAGTTTGAAGCAGAAATAGGAGGATTGACAAGCCCATTGATTTAGATTAGTGTCAGGGACTGAATAATTTGCCATGTCTCGAAATCATTCATTGGCTAGCCCGCGCCGGATGTGGTTGTGTACGACCAAACGGGCCACCAATAGGCTCACCAGTCAATGCCTAAACACAATTAAGGATGGTAATGAAGTGGATTGCCAGCGGTTGTAAAACGACTGCCCAGGGGGCATGAGCCTGCCTCCAAAGGATGCCAGCTCGTAAATTCGGCCTCGCGTGGGCAGCAGATGATAGCCAACCATCGTCCATCGTGGGCTGTCTAATGCCCACACCGGATCAACTTGACAAAAGTGGACATTGAGCGACGACACTTGTCATTCTTTTTTAAGATTAACCCGAAAATGACTGCAAAGCGTTGAATAACTTTCGTTCCTTTGTGGACAAAATTCTTCCGACTTCGTTACTGAGCTAGGAGTCTTAAATTCTCGTATGGAGGCATTTAGTAAACGTTGTATTTCGGAATGAACTAAACTGTCTTCGAGTAGTTAAAAACTTTGTAACGGTTAACCTAAAAACGATATGCCGAAGAAGCTATCAGGCAATATGTTAGATTATCCGCTGAACTGGTCATCACCATTGTCGTCATAAGCAACGTAATAAGAAAAGATTATAGCAAAAGTTATTTCACCTCGGTGCTTCGTAATGCATAACCATGGTCGCAGGGGATTGCAGTGTCATCTTAAGGAGAGGAAAGTAATACTTGACCAACGCAACGCTAACCGAAAAAGCAAGTATTTTTATATACAGACCGATCAAGAAACTAGAAAATAAGGTGGCGAATATTTCAGCCAAAGCACCTGAAACCGCGGTCAAAGGCGGTTACGCTTACAGAGTGATGATCTCCCCAAAATGAGGCCAACGACACCATAAAACCTGCAATTCACTAGCAGCTCGTTGTCAGTCGGGCGCTGGTAAGGTCATTCGGTAGTGTTCATGGTTAGAAAGCCACTACCGTGACCGTCAAACGCACCATCAGCACTGTGTTAGTTTTTGTTTTAGCTGTGTGACGTAAATCGTAGGCATACTTATAATGCTCTTGGAGATCATGCTAGTGTCCATCGGATTGAGTGTATATGTTCGCAGACGTTTCAGAAAGCTGGGCCGGCTCTCCTTTGTCAAAGCGTAAACTGTCGTCATCGATCAGCAATGTTCTCTTAAGGACATTTTCGTAATAAGCAATTAATAACTACAGGATGAAACCGTGCAAATCGCTCAGTGTCAAAATGTTGTCGTATTTCAGGCATCCTAAACTTAATGTGATTATGAATGATAGAAACAATTTTGACCAATGAGATGTTAAAACAAAAGCGCAGTTAGAGTGGTCGTAAGCTAGAATGGATTATACTAGCTGTGAGAATAAAAGTACTTTTGTGGGCTACATTTCATTTCATGGTTTAGAAAAGTTTCAGTTAGATGAAGCGGCGGGTATGTAAACAGCAGTATACGGCTGATTGATGAATTCTACAAGGAGGCAATAAACAGTAGACACGACTGAGTTTTCTCTAAGCGGGGGTGTCGTGGAGGGGTGCTCACGCCTACCTCTTCTCAACTGTCTCGTGTAACTCTCTTTTAACAAAAATAAAATCCGCGGTTCATTTTTAAAGCCAGCAGATTCATTGGATGAAGCACCCAAAATCATTATTGAAATTGCCATAAACTCACAAAGTGACAGCATAATCTCAACGCTCCTGAGTGATCCGTGTTAATTATAAATGGTACTGACAGAAGAGAACTGACTATCTTTAACCCCTATTATCTCCAGTTCCGTATTACAGAATTTCGGGGATTTTGCTTGCTCCACTGAGCGCAAAACCGGACTGTTAGGCGATCTTTTAACGGTACATATACGAATAGGAACCAGAAGAAAAATTCCAGTGTTTATTAAATCAAGGCGTTTGAAGCTATGCCGACGACGAGATGGGTGAGAAACACCATTATTTAATAATTTAAACAGTAGAAATAGAGCATATTCTAAGTTGTTTAAACTTAAAAGAGCCAGCTTACGTTAAATGAATACTCGATGAAAAGAAAATGCTGGATGTTTTGCCTTTACTGAAGTTGTTAATTTTCAGATGACATTTCACATTTTCCCAAAAACACCTGTTCTTTCTTTGACTCCCAGGTGCAAACGGTCCCCAAAACTACGCGAGAACTGACATAACGACCGCAGCTACTGTGGCGGCTACAGCCGCCGCTGTGGCCGCCGTCACAGCCAGAGACAAACACTGTCACGCCTCTTCGCGACACGGAAGACACCTGGGCTATGGCAGCCCGGGG